TAAGCGATATCTGTTGTTGTCCCTGAAGCACGGACGCATGTGGAAAGGCGGTATGTTGGGCGAAGCTGCTGAATTCCTGCTTGATGCTGATCCGTTCCATGTCTGCTGAATTGGAAGTACACTTATTTTTGTTTATAAGGGAAATAGAGCTGGAGTTCGTTGGCGGCACTGCACTCGAATGGTACTTCGTCATTACAGTAAAAACAAAACTCACTTTTTTTTCTTAATTCAAATAAATAAAACTATAAATTTTTTGGGTTAATACTTGTTGGCACTTTTTAAACAATTTATCATAGAACTCGAGTTAACACTTTCACAAATTCTACACTAATTAGTACTTGATAATGTTGCTGGCAAAGCGTAGGAGCCCTTTCGGCAGCCCAGTGTCACCTTGTGCCCGCGCGTTTTTCTTATTCATACGCGTCGATCTTCAAATTCGTTCTTCCGAAACGTAAATTCGCTCCGACAACGACGGCATCCACGACACTTTTAGTTGACAAATTTTCAAAATTTTCATTTCTCATTCGCTTGGCGTTGAGTTGTTGTGTCTCGAGATCGAGCGACGCTGTGTCTTTTCAAGTAGTCAAACACATTTGTACCATGTGTCCCGGCGTTGATGTCTTTTTTGTGTTTCGTTTTGAGTACTACACTCAAGATGCTGAGGAGCTGTAGTGTTTTCGAGTGGTGTCTATTTATAAATCGCCTCGTTATTAGACGTTCTCTAATATGACAGAGTATAGGATTCGAGCCAATACAGTTAGGCCACGCCTCCTTTTTCAGAAATACTATATACTTATATATATTTGTGTTTATATGTGTGCAATTAGAGTGTAAGTATTTAGATGAATATCTTGTAGATGTAGTTGGTGTTTTAATAAATATTTGCGTAGATTTTGAGTGGAACTTTAGAAGTCTTCCATGAGATTTTAATGAATGAAAATTTTTGTAAAATGGTGGAAAATTTAGATGAAGGTCGAAGAGCTTAATAATTAATTCAGAAGATCAAGAAATAAGCAGAGCAAAAAACAAAACAATAAGCAGAATACAATGACATTGTTTCCACCAGACTGTTATGGGAATCTTTTTTTGGTTTCTAAAACTTTATTTGGAAAGGACTACATCCCTGTTCATTTGGTATAATACGATGTTATGATAGTTAGATAACTAACACATATTTTAAAGATAAATTATTTAGGTAAATCTTCTCAGAATATTTCCCTTAACAAGTTTTTGCGAAGACTTATCGAAAAGTATGAGGAAAATATATTTTTATGTAGATGTGAGACTTCTTCAGTGATAACCTCTTTCACCGTCCAAATTCTCTTATTGACGAGGAGGATGACGACTTTATGTTCCTAATATAGTTCGAAAAGAACTTCTTAAGGGTCATAAATTAGTTGACTTGAATGCTGAAAATCTAAAATTAAACCATAATGCAAAATATATATACAAAAGGTCGATTTCAAAATTAATACAAATAATTTTCCAAATCACTATATTTACTCTTACGTTTTTTATGAGACAGCACCATTTCGTTCCAGTTCGATTATGCTTGCACTCCGCGTGGTGTTTTCAACGGACCAGATTGATCATCATCAGGAAAGCGTACCAGAATATTTCAATTAGTACTATGATACCCAAATCCACCCTCTACTGACCCACACAAGTATTTAGACAACTAAAAAGCGATACAATAAATCGCTCAGTCCTGATCAATGTGCCGGCAAAATTTGTTTTGACAAAAACCCATCCGACGCCATTTATTCAAGCATCACAACAATCTTCTTTCCAATAACTCACGACCGAGCAGAAGGCAAGCATGCACTCGTAAGTATGTATATTTGTGCAAGTAGCGACTTCTGCGAGCTTCGCCAGTTGTAAGGGCACCTGTGGAATCGCTGACGCATTACGCCTTCGCATACTTAGCTCCAGTCGCTGCCGCTGCGTCGATTTCTTCTCGTTGTTTGTGTAATAATTTTTATTTCGAATAAATTAAGAAAACAAAAAAGGTGATGTGACATTTTTAATGGAGCCAGCGACGGCAACTGAATGCCAGCGTTTCCGTTCCTCCAACATCCGTCAACATGATGCATAGCGGCTCTACGCCTCTGGCCCCTCACAACAGCACCCAACACCGCCCGTGCAAAGCAATCAGTTACGGGAATGTTGCGCGCACAGATACACACACACCTATCTAGAAGAATAGACACTTCTTCCTAATAATAAGTTGGTGGATATTTATGCGCGAGTGAATGTGTCTGCCGCACACTTACCGTTACACACGCGCTCATTCAAATTGAGACACTCAACCGCAACGAAAATCCCCGTGTCTGAAAATAATTTGTTTATTTATCGTTGCTCAAACAAAAAATATATCTTTGGAAATCGCCTTTAAATCTTTTCGAATCGAATTGTAAATCTTTTCAACTTTGCGACGGTATTCGGTGCATCATAGCTTTCGTTTGGTGTGCGTTGTTGCTGTTTTTGCATTTCGTTATCTCTGTCACATAAATTCAAAATGGTCGTGATAAATGTTTTGTTTTGATTGTGACAAAGTTTCGAAAATTTCGCCCGCTGAAGACTGAGTATTTTTTACAAAAGCTAAAGAACCATATAAGTATGAATAATTCTTTAAGTTGATAATTTCAAAGATGTGAGACTTTTGGAAAGCGCTCTTAACTGGTTTCAAGTGGTAGTTTTGAGATAGTCTAAAAAAAAATCATGGAAACTTAAAAGAAACTTGAACAATTTTCAACTCAGAAAGTTTTGTATACTATTCAAAAGACATTCAAATATACTACTATTCAAATTCACCGAGGTTTCTACTCGTACTGGGTCTGCTGAAAATTGCTACTCTTTATCTTTTAAAATACATACTATAAAAGGTTGTCAAACGCAAAAGTTTTTAGAAAACTCACAGTTAAAAATAAGTAATAATTATATTAAATCGTTAACTCAATAATTAAATTCGATATCAAATTACACTACTCAACAAATCTGAAGGAAAAATTTGCGACTGAAATGCTTGGAGCCCACAGCCTATTTGAGATATGATAACGAATTTGAATTTAAAACTTTTGTGATTTTAGTAAATGGTGGTGATTTCATCCCTTGACTTCTTCTTCTTCTTCTTTAAAGGCGTAGACACCACATGCATATGTGTTATAGCCGAGTTAACGGCAGCGCGCCAATCGTTTCATCTTTTAGTTATTTGACACCAATTGGAGATACCAAGTGCAGCCAGGTYCTTCCCCACCTGAACTCTCCAGCGGAGTCGAGGTGTTACTCTTCCTCTGCACTCCCCGGCGAGTACTGCGTCGAATACTTCCTGAGCTGAAGTATTTTAATCGGCACGAGCGATCATTTACGATCATTAAAGTAAGTGAGGAAAGTTCTTTGAGCGCCATTCACTTGGAAGTGACCACAAACGGTTGGTTTACATATGGCTCAAGCAGCTCGCGATTTCCGGTCTTCACAGTCGCAAAATAAACGTAAACTAGTGTTATTAGACGTATAAAAAAAATACTAACAATTTATTTGGGAAACGTTACCGCTTCTTCAATTTAATTGATAAATATTCCTCAACTCTTACAATAAAATAATTAAGTTGCACAACACGCTAAGGATACATACTTACCATCATATTAACCAATTTTATAGGTTAGACATTTATAGAACATGAAAAAATTGTTATAACGTTAAAGGATGAACATTTTTATTTCCGGATTTCGCTTATTTTGGTTAGACTCTATTTATTTGAAATAATGATTCGATAATTATATCTTAGTGGGTGAATAATATGTCAGGGGAATGTTTAGTATCGCGCCGGTTAAGTATCGTTTATGGAGAAAAACAGGGTCGGGCTATCCCCCCTCCCGACCCCTTATTGGAAAGAGGAAGGATCGAACTTTTTAATAAACCCCCCCTCGACCCCCTACATCCCCTATGGACCTGTAGGGAGGCCTTTGAAAATKACCAAAAATCAGTGTTTTTGCTCATTTTTCCATACAAACTGAAACCAATGCAACCCAGCCAAMATTTTTGTATGGACAAGAAATCAAAATAAAGAAAGCCAAAATGTTTCAGTGCAATGTATATACGTATATAATTACATCTATCCTTCGGCCGCGCTTTAAAAAAATAACATTGGCCGGTCCAACATCGGCTACGCCATCCACAGTATTTTTGCATTGAACACCTTTTCCTCCACAGTATTTTAGCATTTCATTCCTTTCCGYACKAGCGGCCTTCGGCCGCGCTTTAAAAAAATAACCCTGGCCGATCCAACAACGGCTACGCAATCTACAATATTTTAGTATTGAACACCTTTTCGCGTTCACTTCATACATTTATTGCTAAGTGGGTTTAATTTATTCCYTTTTGTTCGTGCTTTCTCGGTAATTTGACAGTTCAAAGTAGGCAGTCATTTTGGTTTTCCGCATTATTGAACTCAATGCAGAAAAAGGTGTATTTTATTTAAAGATTTACAAAGAAATTAACAATCAAAAGTAATTAAAAACATTACTAGTGGTTTTTGTAATTCATAAGTAATATCTATATGTGCGTGAAAATGTATCCATAATTGGTTTGGTACCATGCACAACAGATGAAAATACAYTAGCATATATTTAGAATTTTGCAAAAAATAGCATTTTTTGAAGTGAATTTGTGGAAAAATTTGTAAACCGATTTTTATAAAATATATTTTAAAACAAAGTTCGATAATTTAAGCATACATGCGTGTTTAAAATTTTCCATTTGGTTCTCTCGTTTAGGTACGGTGAGCCAAAATTAACCGGCGCGATACTAAACACAACCCATATGTCAAATTAGCATAATTTACTACAGAGAGTTGATTTATTAATATATGTATTTCAATTATTACAGTAATACAGAGTTTAGATTTTATATGTGTATCCCAAAAATTGAAGAACAGTTTCTCAGAAAAAATTACATTTTAAAAACTATACACGTTCATTTTAGACTTGAAAAAAATTTCTCTTTTCTTAAAACGTCAATGTTCAAAATATAATTTCATTCTAATTTTCGGTGTGCTAACAGCTTATCAAATTTCTTCCAAATTAGTTCTTTTTTTCCTACATATATTTCTTAAAAACAATCGTTCAAACAACATGAGTAGGAGACCGTTGGGTAGGTTGCAATGTATAAAGGATTTAGAAACCTTCTTTTCTATTGATTTTTCGATTTTCCCGCTTCTCACAGGCCCCGGTCCAGGTGCTTATATGCTGCCCTCAAGCTTTGGTTACAGTAACAACGTACCAACTGGTCGACGTTCGCCTGGATACAGTTTCGGCTTGCGTGGTCCCGATGACATTAAGAAAGCTGGACCAGGACCAGGCGCTTATAAAACAGATGCATTGACACGCTATGGAAAGAGTCGATATCTCAATTACTCATAGATGATTTCAATGGTATGTATGCACGCTCATTCGAGTGTAATCGCACATATATGTATGTATTGTATACACTCATATATATAAATATTATTTTCTTATTGAAATTTCATATTCTGAACACTTAAATTCTATCTTTGTATTGACAGTTGATATGCCGTAAACGTTTGAATGACTAGCCTGATGCTCTTAAACACGGATTTCTACTACAAAACAAAAACAAAAAAAAAAACTTAAAAATTGTAAGATATTTTTTAATAAATACTAGGCCAACTTTCTTAAAAAACGTTACTAAATTTTTATTTCCGAATTTCTAACGGTTTATTTAAAAAATTATTTTGCGTCCCGTTATGTAGTCATGAGCTCTTTCCCATGCCAACATAGATTATAAGCATACACATGTACATATGTATGTGTGTGAAATTCGGAAAATATGCACGGCCTAAAAGTATACTACACACTTCTAATCTTTCTTCGCCTTTGTTCGGTATTTAAAGTTCGTTGCCTCTGAAGTATTTCGAAATATTAGCAAAGGTGTTAAGCAAGTGAAAGATAGCACATACATAAATAACAACAACATAAATTATGAAGAAATTATTGGCGCATTAATATTTGCAATCGGCCAGTAGCAAGGCTCTCTTTGTCTTTCTCTGTCAATCGAGAGGTAGCAAGAGAAAGTGGCAAGTGGAGTATCTGCAAATTACATTTCCCACAAACTTCATGTTTATGTTGAAAGCTGAGGCAAGCATTGCATCAGATTTTAATGACCAACTTACTTTATGTTATCGTTTGACATCTTCGTGAGGTGTGAGAAGAGCGCAAAAGAGAAGTTTTTATGCTGCACGTGTTAATAAATGTTTGAGCATGAGCATTGCAGCTTGTAAAGCTTGCTATCTCATCTCTTGCTCATCTAGTTAAAAAGGCAGCAGAAAAATGTATTTATATAGAATTTTTAGCCTCTATAGAAACAACTCAAAAAATATTTATAAAAGTAAAAAAATTAATATATTTTACAGTTCTGAATATTCTTATTTAAAAAGAACGGTATCTTTTTTTCAGTAATGATAATCACTTTTTTTCTGTATTCTATTTATGTAAAATATATCTCTTTTTAAAATAAATATTTTGAAATCAGTGCTCCAAACGTTGCATTAAAAAATGTGTATTAACGTTATATCATGTCTTTTTATTCTATTAATTTAAAAGACTTTACCAAAAATAATTATCAAATTTCTATTTCCAAATACCGGTTTGGAAAATTAAAAATTATTTTCTAATTCAATTAAAAAAAAATTGATTTAAATTTTTTAATTTTAAATTCCAATTTTGTAAAAAAAAATGTAATATATATTTTTTACTTACAAAATTTGAAAACCTGCTCTAAATTAATGAAATATCATGCAATGGTACATTTTGCATAAATTAATTGTCTTACTACAAAGTACTAGGCATTTTGGTCATTCCTATAAAATTTTAATTTAAACATTGGTCGCAAAAGCTCCATTTAATGAAATTAGTAGTATTTGCTACTATTGTAACACAAAGGCAAGCCGCTGTAGTTGTCGCTCTTTTAACTAAATACGCGCTCTTTCACCGGATACAATGCTCGCCATAACGCGAAGAATACGCGAAAATTGCACAAGAAATTATAAATAAACCATTGCGGCTGAGTGTAGAGAAGATTTAGCGGAAAGAAATCACATTTTATATTATATCGGAATAAAGTTAAATAAAAAGGTGCTTAATAAACAAGAGATGGAGCAAAACACACCAAATAAAAACTCATTAATATATAGTTTGTGTTCGTATGAGCATAAGTGAAGTCGGGTCGACTCTTGATATAATGCGAAAAGCGACAACGCCAAGTTTCAGTCACCGCTTGGCCATCACAGTGAACACATACGAGGCCGAGAGGCGTCTAAAATTAACAGCTCTAAACCGAAAATTGTGCGCGCAAATATTTATAAACAAATTTTACAAATACATACAAACCTATACGTACAGATAACTTTGAGATCAGGAAGCGCAAGTGAAAAGCAAAAGACACACAAAGTGTTATCTGGCAAATTTAGCGTCTGGCGGTTAAAATTAAGAAATCCATGACTATGTGTATAAAAACACAGATATATTATGAATAAAATTTAAAGCAAAACTAAAAAAGATACGTTTAACAAATACCAAATAACTGAAGAGAAGTATGCACAAGTGAAATAATGAACAATGCGTTAATACAAACCCAACAATGTGTGAAAACTAAAAACTAAATTAGCAAAAAATTAAGAAAATACGCAGTTTCGTCATTTCGTCGCACCCAAATTAACATGCAGCAGTAAAAATAAAAGTTTCTCCTATGGAAAACTCTCCGGGTAAGTAAAAGAAATATTAAAAAAAAAAAAAGAAATTTTGTTTATAAAACCAAAAATCTTCTCGTTTCTACGTAATTATGTGTAAAATCGTTTAGCTTAGAAAGTTGAATGAAATGTCTTTGCTACTGGAGGAAACATGTGTCATCAGAAAGTTTCGCTTTTCGGCCACTTCTTGTTTTCAATGTCGTCAGCACATACATATGTACCTGCTATAGTGTAAATACAACGCATCGTTATTTATTTTTGCACATGCTCACAATAGCTCGTATATACACACGACCGCTGTTTAGTTGTCAGTTTTGACATTAGCTCACTGCCACTGTCATCAATGACAATAAACGTTGTTGACGCGTATGTAAGTAAGTCCTCAACAAGTGCAATGGTAGCAGAAGTGCTCGCTCTCTTCAAATTAAATGCTTTTGTTTATACATTTGTATACAGGTTCCCACAAGTGCTTTGCATACTGGTCCACACATATGCACACATATGCACATAAGTACCGCATGCTGCCAAGTAAAGTAGTCAACACGTGAACGACGCATTAACCTACATATATAATCTCAAGTAATCTACTTATTGAAGTCAGTAGGCGACGCCACAAATATTATTTTTAATGAGCATTTTAAATACGCAACTGTTGAAAGTGTGATGGATTTGTGTTGCCTTGGAAATTAGTTCGCTATTAAAGTATAAAATGCTTGCTTTCATACATAATTAACTTCCACTGAGGTCATTTTCTTCGTATTTCCCCTAATTTATCAAAATATAAAATATCAAGTAAAATATTTGCGGTTCGCTCATTGCTATTTAGGTCACAATTTGTTCATACTTGCATATAGTACATGTACATATGTATGTTTGTATGTATGTAAATATTTCATTAATTTAGAATTTGCCTGTAGAGTGGCCCTGTTGAGAAAAACTAAAGCCTAGCCGATAGCGATTTATAAGATGTTCAAGATTATATTATATTTGAATTTGGAAAATTGATAATGACGTTTTCATTGACAGGAAAGCAGCGAAAACCAGTTCACATGCATTGCCAAGCGTGACGACACATTTATTTCATGTAAACAAAAATATATACTCACTCACTTGCACCTGTTACTGGACTTGGTTTGTTGAACTTGAAAATCTTTTGAGCACATAACTGGTTACGAATTTTTATATGCTCAGTATACATTCGTACGTACACACCTATTATACTTATCTACGCCAAAGTAGAGATATTTGACAGAATGATTTACTGAAATCTAGTTATTAATTGGTGATTGGGTCGTCATAGCAAAATATTTTCTAGATTTTTGGCGCTGAGCTAAAAAACATATCTAAGATAAAGATGTCATATAACGGAACGCATTTACGTGAAATACCGCCGAACATTCAGTGCTCAATGCTTACATTGATTGAATTTGTTTTTTGTGGCGTGTGAACTTTTGCATCACCCATTCGTTATACATATGTATGTACATACATATTTTCACAGCCAATTCCAGGTCTTGTAACGCCCTACTTCGAACCGTACATATTCACGTCTAAATTAGTACTATATGCCGACTTCAACAATGAAAACACACCATTAAAAACACTTGTTCTAACATAGACACATATATATTTTTCGGCATATTTCACAATACCACCAGCCTTTATGTTCGTTTAATGTAAAATACACTTATACTGACATACTACCTGTTACTATACTAGATGGAATTGTTTATTCAAGACAAGCTTCTCTAGTTAATAATTTCATCAGACTCACTGGCGGAGCCATAATGCTTTACAGATTGAAAGAGGCTTGACAGAATCTGATTTGAATATTAACGAGTTGATTTCATCTCTGCTTTCGTTCGTGTGGAACATGCGTTTGAAAACATGAAATAGCTTTTATTGGCAAATTTTTACGATTAAGGGAACCAGTTCAAATATTAAAAATGCCAAGCTAGTTCACAATTTGATATTTTCTTCTGCATTTATTTAAGTTTTGGCAATTATTTTAGGTACTCCATATTTTAAGGCTGCCAAACATGCCTTAACATTTTACTCTTGAATGTTTCGGTCATTTTTTCTTAAGGCGTTACATGGGTTTACGGGTTTCAAACAAGAGTCAAGACTATTTATTGTCTTATTAAATTCTAAAACACCTCTAGAATATTAACCTAAATTTGCAACTTGATCCGAGTAGTAGTTTCGGAGATATAGCCTTGAGAACTTTTGCGTTCGCGGCTAGCTAGCCTAAGTACACCGTCTTTCACGCGTTTCTCTCAAAAGTGTGTTTTGGAAGTCGGTTGGCAAGATTTCTCGAGAATTACTAAACCGATCTGCATGAAATTTTGCACAGGCATTTGAAATGCAATTCTTAAAGGCTTGGACGATTACAACTATTTGAAAAAAAAAAAAAAAAATCGCGAAACTTTCATTGTTTTGTAAAATAGTCTAAAAACACACATTCTCGTTTTTTTTCCTTCTTTCAAAATCTAAGTTAAGCTTTTAACTAATACACGTATTTATTCACTTTAGATGATCCTGTACCCTGCCAACGCGGGTGCACCTTTTATCTATGGGGTCACGGGAGTTTAAAATATTTTTTCCAAAAATTTCAAAGTTTATTTACTAATTTGTTAATATGTTTGTAACAATAAAAAATTCTAATAAAGTATTTTATTTTTCATATTATAGCCGACGAAATCCATGTGGGTTACTTAAGTTACTGATTAAGAGACTTAAAATTTCCACAACGTATTAAGGTCCAAATCGATATAAGAGTTTATTTCACCGCTTTCCATTATATGCTGAGTTCAAGAAACAGTTTTGGTTTCTAAATAAATTGTATTCTATTCTTCCTTGTAAACATATTTACAG